GTTGCTGGATTGGGAGGGGGGGGGGAGTATACTTCCTTCAATGTTTCCCTTGATAGTTTTCAATTTGTTATACTGTGAACTGTCATACTATGCCAAAGCGGGGAAAAAGGTTCATAGAAATTTCTTTTTATTTAAAAAATGGAAACTATGGAAGCTGCACAGACTGCAGTGTTAAGACCGGTACATACCATGTAAGGGATAATCCATGCTGAGAAAACCATGGCATATGTTGTGTTTAGGAAACTGGTTGTTATGCAGAACCACTGGTAGTTTAGATTATGGAAGATCAGATTATAAATAGGGACCTACCTAAATCATGGCAAGACAAAGGGTTTTTTGCAGCTTGCTGAGCAGGTTTCACAGGCATTTTATAGCAGCCCTATCCCTTGGTGCTGACTGGCAGAGAGGCCTGGTGGTGGGGGAAGAAGGGTGAGGGGGAAGCTGCCATCTTGATTTCTGGCTGCCTTTCATGTCATCCTGCCCCTTGACACCGATTGGCATCGAGGCCCCAAGTGGGGGGAAGGACAAGGGGGCAGCTGTCATCTTGTCTGTTCTCCTTTGTACAACCCCACAAGGTGGTGCCTTCCCCTCCTGGCAGCACAGACTGCTGACTCCCACTGGGGAGCCAGCATTATACTGTTATTAGGGGGTTTTTTTGTTGATTTTGCATACAATCCCAGATTTTGCAGTTTCCACAAAATCCAGAAGACCATTAATTAAGTAGGTCCCTAATTACAGAATATTCCATTTTAACTGCTATTATAATACACAAAAAATGCCCTTACTAGGAATACCAGCAGTGAACTGTTTCCATGTAAGGTAGTTTAATCCTAGTAGCTACAATCAGTTGACAGTGGCCATTCAATTATGAAAAAGAAACAGAAGCCATCTTTCCTCATCCCACACAAAACATTTGCTTTCTTTATCGTTCCATGCACTTAGAGAAGCAGTTCAGTTCTACCCAAACAATAAGTGATGGGGCAGAAATCAGAACTGGAAGGCACCTCCCAAACCAGACTCCTGTCCCCATCTACCACAAACCAGTACACCATTTACACCATTCAACCCCTTTCATAAAAAAAGTTATCAAACTCCATGTTAATAGTTGAAAAGGGATAGAGAGGTGAGAAAAACCTTAAATCAGGAAGCTACTCCTGCAAAGCAGCTTCTAACAATTATGCATCAATTCTAATTTCCAGTGACACTTTACTGTAGATAGAAGCATCAACTGAGGTGAGCTATCACACTAAACTTAAATAGCTCTTGTCTTTCCCTTGTGCTTCTCCTTCCCCTGGGAATATAATGAAAACACTCTCATGCCTTCTCAGCCTTCATTTTACTAGGCCAAACAAGTCAAGTCTTTTTTGGACATGGCCATAAGGTTTCCCTTCACAATCCCAGGTCTTCCACAAATGAACTAGCTTTGTGTACTTCCTCCTGCTTAGTCCTCAGGCACCAATAATTAAGAAGGGTGGGCAGCTGAGAGCATTAAGCACTACCCAGTGCTGCTCTTGGGCTCTGCTAAGACAGAGAACCTAAGTAAGGCAAAACAGATCGCACTTGGGTAGAACAGACAGTTTTTCAGTGGCATAACTGCTGGTCTCTGGTACACCCACTAAACAAAGTGTGAGGGAGTTATTTTGTCAACAGGGGATCCAGGGTTGGGAGGAAAGCTATACAGATATGCTCTGTCAGTCTCTTCAGGACTCTCCATTTCCCCGATTACACCAACAGCCTTTCAGCATGCCTAGTCCAGTGTTAATACTTGAACATGTGTGAGCAGACTTTTATGCATTATTCCACGTCAGGTCTTACTGTTCATTGCCTTGGACAATGACATTAAGACTTACTGATCGTAAACAACCATCTATACAATGCATATAAAAGAGCCAATGGATACTGGCTCTGATGATTTTTTCTACTGCCGTACAAAATTAATTAAAAAGGTTTACAGCAAAAGTTCTGTTATCCGGCATCCCCTGGGAATGGGGGATACCAGTTAATCAAATATGCCGCTTAGTCAAGTGTGCACCATCCGGTGTACTCCCTGGCAGCATGCCGGGGGACAGGCAGGGGGGCCCCGTGTAGGCTGCTTTGCCCTGGGCTGTGGGCCAAAGAAGTGAAGAACTCAGCTCGCGGCAGCAAAACTGGAAGTAGGACTTTCAGTTTCGCTTTTGCTGTGTCCCTCGGATGATGGTTAGTGGAGTTTTCCAGCTGATAAAGTGCTGGATAACAAAGCTTTTGCTGCATATACACAGTTAAGAACATTTGCTGTATTGTTTTGAAAACCTACCAAAAAAGCTTTTCCTATATGTGACAGGCCTTGCACGTCTTGCACTTGCCTTGCACTGGGTTCTAGTACCTCCTATCCAAAAGATAATTTAAGCCAGGTTAGAAGTTTCTAGACAGAACGTTGATAAACTGATTCCAAAAATATTGTGATAGTTGAAAGTGTCTTTGTGGACAAAAAAATAGATCCGAGACAAGGCTTGATAACTGTCACAACCAGCAGTACATCTGCTCCCATGGCAGATTACATAGCCAGAAGTAAAAAGCTTCGAGGACACAAATTAAGTGTGTGTAATTTTCTGGTACTGAAAGTAGGACTTCAAGTATGACAGGAAAAAAAGAGGTGCCTTGGGACGAATCCCTTCCAAAAAGCTTTACTTACAATGCTATATCAACATCACCAATCCACAAAAGACTCTGGGGAATAGAAGTGCCTATGCCATCAATTCTGAGGATATAGATTTCATAGACATTAGGGCTGGAAGGGACCTCGGAAGATCATTGAGTCCAGCCCCCTGCCCAAAGGGCAGGAAGTCAGCTGGGGTCATAGGATCCCAGCAAGATAAGCATCCAGTTTGCTCTTGAAGGTGTTCAATGTAGGCGCTTGAACCACCTCCGGTGGCAGGCTGTTCCAGACCTTGGGGGCTCGGACAGTAAAGAAATTCTTCCTTATGTCCAGCCTGAAACGGTCTTAGTTTATGACCGTTCGACCTAGTCGTCATCCTTTGGGGGCGCTCTGGTGAACAAACATTCCCCCAGATACTGGTGGTCACCCCTGATAAACTTGTAGGTGGCCATCAGATCACCCCTGAGTCTGTGCTTTTCCAGGCTAAAGAGCCCCAGGGCTCTCAGCCTGTCATCGTAGGGTCTGCTTCCCTGACCTCTGATCATGCGCATGGCTCTTCTCTGGACTCTCTCAAGCTTCTCCACATCCTTTTTGAATTGTGGAGCCCAAAACTGGACACAGTACTCCAGCTGCGGCCTCACTAAGGCCAAGTACAATGGGAGAATGACGTCCCGGGATTTGCTTGAGAAGCATCTATGGATGCAAGCCAGCGTTTTGGTCGCTTTACTAGCCGCCGCATCGCACTGCAGGCTCATGTTCATCTTGTGGTCAATGATGACCCCCAAGTCTCTTTCTTGCATAGTGCTAGCCAACATAGCACTGCCAAGCCTATAAGGATGCTGCGGATTTTTCTTCCCAAGGTGGAGAACCTTGCATTTATCGGCGTTGAACACCATCAGAGTCTCGTCCACCCGCTTGCTGAGCCTGTCCAGGTCAGCCTGGATCACCCGCCTGTCTTCTGGTGTGGATGCTTTGCTTTAAAAGTTAAAGGAAGAGATATTCAAAAGATACAAATGAGAGTTAGATGCCCAATTTAGAAATGCAGATATCTTTAAATTTAGGATGTATTAATTGAGCAATTAAAAACCAGAGTTAAACTTATTCCTTACCTAACAGTTACAAAAAGGGGCTAATTAGTCTGTCATGGCTAATTAGTCTGCGCATCCCCTTTGTGCATTATTAAAAGTAAACCTTTTACAATTTACACTGCCAGTGATAGGTTTATTTGACTAGCTTTTGAATACAGGGAAAAGTAAACACGGAATCATGTGTACATAATCAAGATCTCAATGTACCTGATCATCAGGGATCGTGGTCTTCTCCATTTAAAAATCCCAAATTCTCTGATTAAACCCCCAAAATCTGCATTTCTCCACAATTAAAATTAAATGCAAGCAGTTGAACACAATGTTTTCTTAATATATTTAGAATTCTAAAGCAATCTGGAAACCTGAGTGCCTCAATCATTATAATAAAATAAATTCTAAATACCAGTAAATTTTGACCGGGGGGGGGGGGGGGGGGGGAT